TCCCTCTCTTGCTGTTGCCCGATGTGTAGAAGAAGTTGCCTCAGAACAAAACCCCATGCTCTTTTTACAGTTTACCAAGGCCATGGTCTTCACTACCATTTCTCCCTGGATCTCCCAGCCTTGGGTGCGTATCTTGCTTCTGGGGAGCCAGGTTCTTCTCCTCATGAGCTATGAGAGCTCAGGAGAGAGACAAAATTGTTTCCTTCTTTTCTCTGCATTGTGGATCATATTTCTAACTTCTTTGTAGCTTCTATTCTTTTATTAATTACTTCCCAAATCCTGATGATGTACTTTCTCTGACAAGTTTTTATTTACCAGTGTCTGGATTCCAGATCTTAGAAAGGATGAATTTTTCTACTGGTGGCCACTCAGCCATTATCTTCACTCACCACACTCATTAAAATTTTTATTCTATCCCCCCCAAGCCCACTCCCCTCCCCATGTCCAAAAGCTTTGTCTCCATTTTTCCTTCCATTTTCACTTTTTTTCTTATTCCTTCCTTCCTTTTTCCCTCCCTCCTCCCTTGTTCTCCTTCCCATTTGAACAGTTGCTTCCCATTTCCCAACATCCATTATACATCTCAGTCCTTATTTCCACATTCTGGTTTTTGTTGTGGTTGTTGTTGTTTTAACCAGTTCTGGAGATTGAACTCAGGACTTTGCACTTGTGGGGCAAATGTGACACCACTGAGCTAAATCCTCATCCCTACACATTCAGTTTTTCACACCAGAGAAGCAATGCAGTATTTAAACGCGTTCCAGACTCTTAAATGTACATCTAATTATTGAGTTTTTGAGTTCTGACTAGTCTCATACCATTGCTTGTCATCTCAAATTTTCCCTCTTCAGTGATCTTGTGGATATATTTGCAATGTATACCTTACTACAGCTGGTGGTGCCTGCCCTCCATGAAATTACTGCTGTTTGTGTCAAGGGTACTCTCATCTTAGGTTCTTTATGCTGTCGGCCTCATTACTTATAGTCCTTCATGTGCCAATACCAGATGTTTCTTACATTCAAAAGTGGGGAAAAGCTCACCCTCTTACTCAGTATTCTTTGTCTTCTGGAAATTGACACAGGACTGCTTGTGCCTTTGTG